AGCCCAGCGCACCCGCGTGCGCCGGGCTCGTCGGTGCCCGCCCGCCCCTGGCGGATGGCCGGCACCGCCTGCCGATGGGCCGGGGGCGGCCGCGGCGCGCCGGTAGAAATCACGAAGGGACGCCGTGGGCCGCCGGGGCGTGCGAGCGAGGGGGCCGGCCGCGCCCAGGCTGGCGGCGCCAGCGGGCGCGGCGTGCTTAGCAAGGAAGCACGCAGCCGGGGGGCATGGCGGAAAGCCCGACCGACCATACCATGGGCGCTGGGGCGTGATACTTTTTCGCAGGGCGGGCACGCGGGCGAAGGTTTTCGCTTTCGCCATCGCGGCAACCTGCGTTCGCCATGCAAGCGGCGCTAGGGTGTGATACTTTTTACCACGGCGGCACCATGGGCGAAGGAAACCAACAAAAATCAGGATTTTACCTCCCTTCCCAAGTTCGGCCGGCGCCTTCGGAAGGCGCCGCCGCTTTTGCGACTCGCAAATCGACTTCGTCAGCCCGTGGACAGGCCTCAGGAAGTAGCCCAAAATTGGGCACGCCCGCGGGCGGCCGAAATCGCAACAAAAACTTGAAATAAACTTGGAATAGACTTGCAAGCCGGGTCGCGTGCTTGGAAGCCATCGCAAGCTAGCCCCGGTGGTATGGTGGGCGGAGCCCTTCAGATTTTGGCCCAAAAACGTCGGCAGATCCAAGCTTTTTTCGCCTGCTGCCGAGATGCTTCGGCGGAGGTGACGCATTTTCGCCAACACTTTCGCCGGGTTGCAAGTTTGAACGCCGTAGCAGCCTGGCAAAAAGTATCACAACCTAGAGCCCAAGGTATGGCCGGCGTCGCTTTCATCATTTTCGGCCTCCGTGAACTCATCCTGCCAAAAAGTATCACGCCCCAGAGCCAATGGCATGGTCGACGCGGGTTTTGCGTGTTTTTTTGCATGCATGACAACACCGCGGCAAAAAGTTCAGTCAGAAACCCCGGGGCGGTGGCGGCCGCTAATTCCCAGCTAATTTCTGCGGGATTTTTCCAAACCCCGAGGCCCGGGATAATGGGTGAAGACCCAAACCCGGAAAGCCGACAACCCAAGCTGCGCCACACGAGATCCCAAAGCAATCAGGCATGGAACTTCAGGAAAACAAAAAGCATCCAATGAGAAGCAGGCCACCTTCTGCACATGGAGCACGACAGGGGCGACAATCTCACACAGGACGAATTCCCACAAGCTAAAATCCCAAATCCCAAAGCCGGCCGAAAAACAATACCACCCATCGGAAACCCCTCCCAGTTACACCCACACGAAACACCCCCCGCGGGCGGCTATTTTCGCGGCTAATTCACAGGCTAATTTTTGTTTTATTTTTGTTTCTATTTTTGTGTTCTATTTCCCCTTCTAAATCGTACTCTATTTTCGTGTTCTAAATCGTATTCTATTTTCATGTTCTAAATCGGGGCTCTAAGTCGTATTCTATTTTGGCTTCTAAATCGTGCTTCTATTTTGCTTTCTATTTTTTGCGGGATTTGCATGTTTCAGCGGCTGTTTTTCAATTTCTAAATTCGCGTTTTGGAGGATTTCCTTTGGAAAACTCCAGTGTCGCGAAAAATAGAAGTTGAAAGGACAGCTGCCGAGCACGCGAATCCCGCAGAAAAATAGAAAACAAAACAGCGAGCACATTTAGAAAACCAAAATAGAACACGAGATATTCAGGAACCCGGGCGATGCTTTCGAAAAACCAAATGACACCGGCTTTGCGAAAGAACGAGACAGAGATGGGGTGGAGGGATGTCAACAATGGCCACCGGACCAGGGTCTTCACAACCCAATCCGAGGGCCCGAGGGTCCCCATGAAAGCCAGACCCCAATCGCTTCCCGCCACCTTCGGGGCCATCCGGGTACGAAAACACCAAGAAACACCCCGCGGCGCTCGAAATTCCGAATCCCCTGCAAACGGCCCCAATTTTTAAATTTTACTTCCCGCAATGCCCTTCCATTGAAAGAACACGCGGGGCCAACGGGGGCACTTGAAAAAAACCCGGCCCCCCGGGCGCGGGGGAAACGGGCGGAACCCTGCGGGCCCGGGCGCCTTCGAGACCCGGGGAGGAAAACCGCCCCCCACCCTAAAGGCTTCGGGGAAATCCCGAAAAAATTAGCCGGGATTTAGTGCCCCCCGCGGCCCGCGGGCTCTCTGACTGAAAAAGTATCACACCCTCCGGCCGATGGTGTGGCACTTTTGATTTTCTTCATTTTCCGGGCCGGATCGCACCCGCGCAAACACGGCGCGGGGAACGAAGAGGCCGCCTGCCCACACGCGTGGGCGCCCCTATGCGTACAAGCCTAGGGGGCCAGAAGCTGCTTGCGCAGAGTCCCGCTGCCCGCGGGGCTTTGTGTATTATGAAAGGGCCTCCGGGGGGGCGGGGCCCGGGAAGGACGGCCCGCTGCGCCCGCCCTTTGTGCCGGCAAGCCTTCCGAGTGGGGCCGCTTCGGCACTACAAAAAGGCCTCGCAAGAGCCAGAACCCCACCGCCCGCCAAGCTCGGGCACCCCGGCAGCCGGCGCCCGTGCGAGGCAGGGACTTTGAACACCCCCGCACGCGGCGTCAACGGGATCGGACCCAAATGGGCCCGGAAATAAAAAAATCATGAATCCCAAAAGAAAAACGAAAAAAAAAATTTTTGCACTGCCACCCTATTGTGCCAAACCACTCCACCGGGGCTCGCTCGATAGGAAATCTGTAGGCCCTAAAATAACGCCGGGACTTTGTCAACAGGCTGCGGACCTGTGGGCTCCGGGGTTTTCGAAGAACTGCGCCACATGAAATCGAGCACGCAACTTTTGTTCGGGCAAACACAATTTCACCGAAAAAACAGAAAAACACCGAATAAATTTGCGCCAAAAAATTGCTTTCTTTGCGACATGAGTGCGACACGGGTGCGACACCGGTGCGACACGGGTGCGACATTTTTCGGCTTCTTCCTGAAATCCCTAAGAAAAAAAAAAACACGGCCGAAAGCCGATTTTTTTTAATTATTTCAGATTTTTTGTCGCAACAAAGGCGATTTTTTGTCGCAGAATTAATTGGCCACTCACCCACCCAAAACTTTCCCACCCAAAATCCCTCTCCCATCCCGAAGCACACACCGGCAACATGGGCTCCCTCTGCCGGCCCCACTCCAATCCCTTGCGCCCAAGCCTGCTTTTCCCGCCCAACCCACAAACCCAAGACACACAACCAGAAAAAGAAAACACACCAGCGAGCGGCTGCAAGAACTGCGAAAACCCTGCGAAAACTTAAAAGCGCGAAAATTTTCCGGCTTTTGTGATTTTTTTGCTTTTCTGACTACTGGGGGCCGATCCCGTTAAGCGGCGCAGTGAATGCATCGAGGCGACCCCCACCTAAATGAAGAAGAACCGCGCCCCGCGGCCGTCAAGTTCGTGCGAAATGCTGCCCCATGTCTGCGGAAAATATCTGCCCCGAGTCACACTCGTAAACTTTTGAAAGTGGCGCGCCTTCGCGCGAAAATTATGGATGGCTATTCCTGCAGCACAGATTTGGATTTTGGCGCGCCATAAAATGAAAAAAATTTCTCCCATTCGAGTCCTTTGATTTTGAATCTGCGCCAGCCGTTCACCTCGCTTAGTTTTTCAAAATCGCCGGCGCGATTGCGATTTCCAGAAACCGGAAATCGCGTCCGTTCCGTGCGTTTTTTTTCTCCTCCGGCTGCCCCTCTTGGTTTTTGCTTTTTAAATTGCTATAAATCAAAAGTGCTCAAGTTTTTTTGAGGTTTTTTTCAAGTTTCTTCTGCTCCTGTTTTGGGGGCCCGTTACTGGAGTAATTAGTGTTCTAACAAAAAATAAAAAAACCTAAAAGTAAAAGCTAAACGTGAAAGCTAAACACAAAAGCTTAAAACTAAAACGAAAATCTAAAAGTAAAAACTAAAGGTAGAAAATAAAAGCAAAAAATGAAAATTGCAAGCAAGCGGAGAAAGGCAAACAAAGCGCGCAACAGAAGGCCAACGACAGAATTTGAAAAACTTTTGAGGAATTGCACAAGCAACAACAATAGCAAGCAAGGCGGTGAAAGCTGGATAAAGAAAGCGCTTTCGACGCTGGCAGAAAATGCGACGCCGCAGGCTTTCAAAATCTTAAAGAGCTGGCACCCCAACCCGAGGCTCGACCAACTGCCCACCATCAGTTCGCTATATAGCGAACTGGTGGCGGGCGCCCCACCCCGAGGTCCGACCAGGTCCCCGGGCACCTCAGCCCGAGGCCCGATCGGCTGCCCACCATCAGCTCGCGATATAGCGAACTGATGGCGGGCACTCCACCCCGAGGTCCGACCAGGTCCCCACCATGAGTTCGCTATATAGCGAACTGATGGCGGGCGCTCCAGCAACCCCACCCGAAATCCGACCTCGCAGAAAGAACGAGATCAACTGAAACAGAGCAGGAGTTTTTGGCTTCCTGTTCTGGTTCTATTTTTTGTTTTTCGCTCTTCTAGCGGAATAACTTAATTTTTTTTCACACTTCTACAGGCGAAACATACATTGCTAATAATGATCATTAATAACCCCATAAAAAAATAATATTCATGATGATAATGAATTGGATATCTCATCCTCTTCCGAGAAATTTCACATTGATATCAGATGAGATCCTCCGACTCAATCAAAGACAAGAATAGAAAGAGAAGACAATGAAACAATGAATATGGAATTCTTATATGGTCGACACAAATCATATCCCAGATCCTATTTCTTTTGATTCGGAATATTGAAAAAAATGATGAATCTCGATCCTTGCCCTTGGATTTTTTTGCTTTGATAGCGTGTCACGAGCGCCTCTAATCTTGCTTCGTCTTGCTCAATCATGAAAAAAAAGATTCCCCCGGGATGAGTCCTACCGGCGTTCATGGTGGCTGGCCCGGCAAGATAAGATTGGCGCTTTCTCAGAAAATTTGCGCAAAAAACAAGCCACAGAATCATGATCACACAGGGCGAGATAAAAATTGCAAAGCGTCCAGCTCAGAATCAGAAACAGGTATGCGGATGTATTTTGTTGCACTCACATGAGTGCGTACAGATGCTCGCTCGTAAGCGTTGTGTTTTTTTTTCGTGGTGTTTCGAAAACGCGTTATCTATCTATCATTCTTCCAAAGTGTGACACATCAGCATACCCGCTTGACAAACATTCGCATACAATGAGGCTCGGCCCTCTGTGGTGGCCACCCAAAATAATTTCGGAACGGCAGACCATATCAAAAGAGTTTTATTTATGTCACTACGCTGCCAATACGTAGTATAACTACCGTAGTAAAAAAACTTATAGTAAAACGAAACAAAGAAAAGCAGCCAAAGCAGCTGTTTTTCTCTTAATCAAAGGAAAGCCAAGAAAGAAGACTTTGCTTCCTGTCAGAGTGAGATCCAGGGCCGAGATGATGTATTTTTATGTCGTAAATATTCTTCGTCTTTGTAAATTTCGACTTTCAAGACTATCGAGCGTCGACGCACGTTGACTTTAGGTTTTTTTTGCGCTTTGACATACTTGATTCACTTTCAGTTTCACTTTCAAGCAGTAGGCTTTCCATCTTTTACTTCCCTTGCGTTCCAATGTATATTTATTTGGCTTTAAGATTAAGACACTCAATAGTCTCGAGTTTCAGTCATGTCTTTTCGAAAAACAGCTGTGTCCTGGTCAGTCTCATCGTGGGGGGAACGAACGTGCGAATCATTAACCTTAAGTTAAGGGATTGAAACCTTAACTTTTCCGGATTGAGATCGAAAGTCAGCGGATCGGATTGATTTTGAAGGTCTGGCGCCCCACAGGTCGCGCCGAAGCCCCCAAAAGGGAGCTCGGATCCTGAGGTCACTGTTAAGACTTTGAGACCTCCTGGCTCCGGATTGAATCCGGGAAGTTAAGGTTTTGAGACCTTTCCTTAAGGTTTCAAAACCTTCGCAAGGTTTTGAAACCTTAAGGTAAGGTCTCAAAACCTTAACTTCCCGGATTCAATCCGGGAAAGAGACTTTGGCCTCCACCAAATACCTCAAAGTCTTTCCTCTCCGGAGTCACCTCGGAGGCCGCAGAACAGAGCGATCCGGGAGACCAAAAAGACATGCCCTGAGTTGCGCAACCAGTCCCACCACCGCCCCGCCCCTAAAGCTGCGACACACGACAACCTCGGGCGCCCAAGCCCGTCCCACAAGACACTCTGCCCCGCAGCGCTTACCAAAGGAAGGGCCAGAGCTCTGGCCCCCACACGAAAATTAGTCCGCGGGCTGCGCAGGCAGTGCCGGGCAGCACGAAAATTAGACGAAGCGGTGCCCGGCAGGGCCTGCCACATCGAGCAGCCGGAGCTTTAACATGCAATCCCGGAAGAAGTAGCGGAATGGGAAAACAAATCCGGCCGGAATGCCGAGGCCCGGAAGTGCAGTCGCCAGAGAGCTGCCCTGCCCCAACTGCAAAGCGGGCGCGTGCCGCCGAAGAGGCCGGCTATAGGGGCAGAAGCAGCACCGGCCGCCCCCGCCCCAAATATGAGGCCGCAGCCTGGTTCCGCCGTCTGGCAGCACATTTACAGCCCCAGCCGCTGCTCGACTGGCGCGGGCCAGCTGCTTCGCAACTCTCGCCGCCTCATCATCCAGCCGACGAACACACGCGGCCCCGCCGATTACTGATGGCGCGGGCGGCATGAAAACGAGAGACACTGCCCCACATCGTTCGTTCTGAACAGCGGGCGGAGACGTGCTTTCCGGGTGCATTTTTTGATGCATTTTTTGATGCTTTTCGAAAAACAGCTGTGTCCTGGTCAGTCTCATCTACAACTTTAATTCCCTTCACGGCGAGTCTCGATAAAGTGATGGGCGTGGGCGAAACACTAGCAACAGCTAGCCGCCCTTTTTGTATATGTAGGCGGTGTCCGCGACACCTCGAGCCAGTATGCACATGGGGACGTGACGGCGCCAGCCGCGGGCCCCCTGCAGGGAAGATCATGGGCAAGCAGCTGCCGCAGCAGGCTACCCCCATGTCATCGATTTCGTGCAAACCTTTGCACGCAAGTGTGGGCAAGGTCCGCGAGGACCGGACGCTGCGCGCACGTGTGAGTGAGGTCCGCGAGGAGCGGATGTTGATACACTTCCCAAGCGCCGACAAACATCCGTCGACGAGGGGGCCGACCTCACGCAAATATCCCAAGCGCTGCTCAGGGAGGCCGGCACGCTCGCGTCATAACACGGAGCCACCCACCTGCAAGCCCTTGGCCTGCGCTCTTCGTGATTTCCCTGCACGCGTCTTGCATACCTAGCACAAAAGTGCAGGGCGGTGCTCCTCCACATGGCATTCATTCGCGGCGCCACCGCTTCATTGCTGGCCGCGGCAGGAGTCCCAGGAACAACGTTCGCTGGCCACCCTTGCAACGCCAGCGCACGCTGGACGCTGCCAAGCTGTGGGGTCAGCGCTGGCATTCGCCAGCGACCGCCCTATTGCTTGTTCCACGCCTGCAATTGCAGGCCACCTATCATGTCTTTTCGAAAAACAGCTGTGTCCTGGTCAGTCTCAGTCTCATCTACAACTTTGAAAAACTTAATATAAGAATTACGTTTCCTGAGCTAGTGCTACAAAAAAGCCGACCCTGCTATTGGGTGCAATAAGAAAAAAACCGGCATTCCTCGTGTGCTAGAAGTAGAAGCGTAATATACAGTAAGTACAATTATCGGCATGATCGCGTGACAGTCGTACACAATAAATAAAGCAGCGAGCGGGCAGTTCACAAGCGTAGCTTCCCTCTACTCCGCCTGCTCTTTCGCGAAACTTCACTTGGCTCTGGTGACGATTCCGCACGCTGGCGCGTTATCTGCACGTCTTCAAGGAGCAGTGGTTGATGCACGCGTTCGTCCTCGTCCAAGACGTAATCGTAGCGGTTTTGCTTGTCGAATTCTTTGGAGATCCCGACGAACCGGTAGACGATGGAGCGAACCGCCCCCGACCGGTGATCGCTGCGAAAGATGGAGTGGAAGCTGTCGGGCGTGGTCCGCTTGTATCGGAGGCGCTGCTCGTGCCGCACTCGTTCGCGCTCCGCCTTCTCCTTCTCACGGTGCAGCAGCTTGATAAACCTCCGGTTCCCGGTGGTCCACGTTTCCACCAGATTTTGGTAAAAGCTCAGGAGGGCGTACGCCATGGCGAAGTCGGTCAACAGCTCGATGAAGATGAGCACGCTGTACATGTTCCAGTCGAGAATGCCCAGCGGGCGCCGCCAGACCGAGATGAAGCCCCGGCCTCCGAGGCAGAGGCAGACCAGGTAGAAGGGGCGCACGTCGATCTTATACAGCAGTGTGCCCCGTTCGCGGAAGAATCCCACCAGGATATCGAACTCCCCCGGTACCTTTATGGCGTACCTCCGGGCGCCCGGGTCCACCCACTGCTGGCTCCACTCGAGTCGCGTCTTCACCCCTTTGGCGAACAAATGTGCAAAGGCCGCGGCGAAGACCAGTCGCTCCATCGGCGGGGCCCGGGCCCGCTGCTCCGGGGTCGAAGAGTAGGAAAACTATCCTATGTAGAAATGTCCGCACGACCCCATAGTTGTAATGCAACTCTGCATGCTGAAAATGCTTCTCATGCGGAGCCCCATGAGAAGCATTTCCTAGTCATTTTTCGGACTTTGCGACGCTCCAATCAGTATGATGTGCTAGATCTGTGACGCTGCTGAACTAGCTAAAACCGGATGACACTACGACGCCACACTTGTCATGCGCAACAGCCAAAGCATGCTGACTTGTCTAGCAGATTTCCCATCTCGACTATGGGGTCGTGGGGACGTTTTTACATAGGATAAAAAGGCGAACATGGTCATCAGCAGGAAGACAAAGCAGGACACGGTGGCCATCACCATCAGGGAGCGGTACACGCGGTAGTCGCCCAAGTAGAGGGGGATGCGGGCGATCTTGTCCGTCTCAGACACAACCTTGGGCACGGACCGCTTCTCCTGTTCGTCGGACCCACGGATCACAAACTTTTTGACGTAGTGTACAGCCGTTGACGAAAACTTCTCACCGGCAAAGTCCTTGTACTCTTGGAGAGTGCGCGCAGCTAGTTTGGAGTACTTCAGAAAGAGCTTCATGTACTTCCGAGAGAGTTTCTTCGTAGTCTGGAGCGTCCTCTTCAGTGCCTCTTTTGCTCTGTCCTTGAACGGCTTCTGCTCTCCCGCAGCAAGGATTTCCATTTGTTTGCTTTTCTTCGCATTTTCTTTTTCTATCTCGTTCTCGCTTTCGTCAGAAGACAGGCCGCCACCTTTCTTGTCGTCCTAGTATGGAAGGAAGGAAGGTAGAAAAATGATTTTATTCGCAGGCTCCATTTAATTAGTATTACCTCTAGTAAGAAACAAGACCCCAGTCTGTTGCGGGAATTCGCTAAAAAAATGCTTATGCTGGTTCGACTGTTCTTACTTTTTGGCATCGCAAAACGCTACCAAAAACAGCTAACTCCGTGGGCTGTGATGAAGTGACTTTGGGCACTGGTGCTGGCGCACTGACTTTATTTTCCATCACAAAAATCGCACGCATGTGCGAAGCCGCGTGAAGAGTGGCTGCGCTTTTCTTTAGGGTTAGCAACACTGCGAGGTATCAGTCATTTTCCTGCCATACTTCCTCGTCCTCATTTGCTTCCGCTGATTTTCCCTCGCGCTCTGCGCGTTTCGCGTCTTTTATATCGAAATGAAAAGCGCCCCTAGAAATGGAAAGGCAATCTTTTCGTATTTTCGCAACGCTTCTCTTCTAAAATGGAAACGCTGACTTGCATGTTGCAGTTATTTGTCTAATATCATAGACAAATTGTAATTCCTGGATTGATATTGATGAAAGTCTGTGTAGTTCTTGCAAAGTGGCACAGCGCGCGTCATTTCTGCGACGAAAGAGGTGCAGGGGTCACGTAGATGATTGATTCTTTATTTTTGCACAACCGTTGTTCCGCACTTCTGGACGACGTGAGGCGCTTTTATTTCCGTCTGATAGGTTAGACTGGAGAACTTGCGCTTGTAGCCGGAGAGCTCCACGTTTGCGTTCCCGGTTTCCTGAGCGATGCAGGTGATCAGAAGCAAGTCCATGATCGCGCGCAGGCCGCACACGACCGGGAAATAGAGACCGCTGAAGTTCATGGCCATACACGCAAGGAAGTAGTAGACTCGGGCGGTCTGGCGCTTGCTGGGGTCGCCCTCGACGTAGTTCTCGGGAACGAAGAGGTATTCGGGAGGGATGATGTCCCAGTCGAAGTCCCAGTAATTCTTGATGTAGATTGGCTCGAAAAAGGTGCTGATAAATTGGAAGTTGAGCGGGAACATGGCAAAGTACACGACGCGGAAGGAAAACCAAAGGGCAACCAGCAGCTTCATGGTGTCCATTCGGTCCAAGAAGTATCTGGGTGAGAGTGTCGAAAGGGACAAATCCCGAGACGCGAGGTCTTTCAGCTTCCTTGGTTTCTTGACAGCATCTTCATCGGACGGCCACAAACCCGCGTCTTGCAGAATCCCCTTGACAATTAGCACGCCCGGTATTTTCACCAAGTAGAAGCCAGCGAAGTTCTTCGCTCCAATGAGCTTCTCTTTGAGGCTTTTTTTCGGCTTTGTCTGCTCATCTTTTTTTGAGTTATCATCTGCGGCGGTTTGCTCTATTACAATGAAAAATGCCCCCACCCCCCAACTTGGAAGCATTTGTATTGCAAACCTTTCGTCCAGATGAAACATTCGCCCTCTTGCATCTATCAGCATCACAGGCTTCCAATCGTGAATAGCAAAGATTTGTATTGCAAAGGACCCAAGCAAGTGCGGCGCTTGTCATGCAAGCGATGCGATACACGCCTAGACTCTGCATCAGAGAGACTCGTTATCATTTTCATATTCATACACATACTCCTTTCATGCATGACAAAAAGTTTTCATTTGGAAACGTCGCATCACAAATTATCGCAACTTTGGGGGTGGGGGCATTTTTCACTGTAATATGCTCTGTTTCCGCTTTACTTGCCTTTTCGTCCTTGTCTCCGATCGGCCCCGTGGTCCCCGGCGCGCCAGGAGAAGTTTCATCACTTCCTCTGCTGCCCTCGTTCTTTTTTTTCGTGTCAACATCTTTCATGTTGTTCGCGTTGGCCTTGTCATCGTCTTCTCCTGCAGCTGGTGAAGTAGGGGGCGCCCGCTCCTGCACGAGCTCCTCACTGCTCTGGCTCCGGAGGCTCATGCTTCGGCGAAGTTTCGCGGTCATTTTCGAGGGCGAAGTGACCGTGTTCCAGAAGCCGTCTACGTCCGACTCCTCGCTGTCTGAGACTCCGAAGGAGCCCGCTATCCTGAGTGACAACGTCCCCAACCCCACCCCAATAGATACAGTCGTGATGCAAATGCGCATAAGTACCGTGGATGTTTTGTTTCTATGCGGCTCTCCATGTTGACGAGAGGCCTGGCCTAGTGGTGATGTTCATCTTTGGGTGGAATCTCTAAAAGTGCGCGAATACTTTTTAACCCCAAAAATCATAGAGTGGACTTATGATGCTTCCAGGACGAGCCTAGCTAGGTCCGACTACACTGCGCAGCAACTACATTTGTCTTCATGCGTGAGTCTTATCACAAGTCTTGTCTAGGACTTGGACTTGGTTCGCAATATAATTCCCATCTTGACTGGGGGGTCGTCGTGGGGACGACCACGGAGTAGTTCTTCCTCAGGCTACTTGCAGTGTCTTCGTCGACCGTCGCTTCCGACTTCGCGTCCTATCAACTGTAAAAATGTCCGGGTCTGGAAGATTCTGACACTTGTCATGCACGTTTTGCATGAGCCATGATGTCTGTGATGCATACGCTAGCAATACAGATTTTTTGAGGGCTTCTTGATGCCTATTCCGCATGACAAATGCCTTCTCAGCGTGGCAAAAATTGCATTCCCTTTGGTACTCATGCAATACAGATTTTTTTGGAATCCAAATGCAGCATCACAGGTTGCATTCTTCCAGACCCAGACATTTTTACATTTGATACGTCCTCCTCTTCGTCGACCGGCATCTCGGAAATCGTGTCCAGAGTGTACTGGCCCCTCCTTGGGCCCCCGTCGCTGCTGCGCTTGGACCGTCGCGAACTCGTCGAAACTTGCGAGCGCGCGGACCTCGGGACGATGGCCACGACTTCCTCCGGGTCCAGTCCAAGGCCCCCCAGCTGCGGGGGCTGCGCAATGTCCTCGTCGTCCGCAGCGTCGTCCTCGTGGCGAATCACTTTCGACATACGACCGTCCGGCACCGGCTTGTCGCTGCGTGTCGTGGGCGACGAGGAGGTGGATCCTCCTGCCTTTTGTTCACTTGCCACTTTTTTCTTCCGCTCCAAGCCGGGCATGGGTGGTAGCACCAGGTTATCAAATGTAAAAGTGTCTGGGTCTGGAAGAATTCATGTTGGTCATGCTTGTCTGGCATGACTCTTAAATCTGTCATGCACGTTACCCAAGAGCCCCGCTTTTCTGTGATGCAGAAGCGCAGTTTGTCATGCAGAATAGGCAACACCTAGGAGCTCAGAAACTTGTCATGCTGAGCCAGCATTTGTAGCCTCATCATGAGACGCCACCCAGCATCACAAGTTTCCAGACCCAGACATTTTTACTTTTGATACAGGTCCGTCGTCGCGTCCTTCTCCTTGTCCGGGCTTGAGGTTGTGTAATTGACGACGTGCTCCCCCATGTCCGTGTCCGCGCCCGCACTCCGGCGCTTTTTTTGCTTCGACTTCCGCCGTGCCTCTGCCTCGCGGCGGTCCCGCGCGTAGACGAGATTGCCCATGGAGTCGACGCCCACCACCTCTTCCGTGCCGCCCCGACTCCGGGTCGTCTCGGCGGGCGCGGACCCGCTCCGGCGACTCACTTGGGACGCACTGGACCGGCTGGAGGCCAGGGACTCGCCGTCCGACTCGGAGCGGTCGTCCCCCTATGCATTGCAAATATGTCTGGGTCTGAAGGAACACAAACTTGTGATGCGCATTTCAGAACACAGGGAAATCTCTCACGCATAGGCAGCAAAAGTTGCCCACTTTCTGTCACCAAAGTGGGGGATTGGTCATGCGGATTCGGCATTGCGAACGCTTCTCGAAACCTGTGATGCTAGAGCTTCCATGCCAGACCTTCTGTCGTCATGCAAAAACAGCATCACTCTTCCAGACCCAGACACTTTTGCGATCCATACCCCCGCAACGGACACCACGTCGCCGGAGGGCAACGTTTGAAAAAAGCTGCGGTCGCCCCGCTGGGCCGCCTGCATCTCCTCCGCGGTCAGGGACGACAAGCGGCGGTAGGCCCGCTTCCGGCCGGGCAGCGTGATCATGCCTTTCCCGCCGCCCTTTCCCTTTGCTTCCAGTGCGCGCACCTGGTCGTCGAACGCCTTTTTGTCGGCCTCCTGCTGGCTCGTCGCTATCGAAAGGAAAAATCCCCCCTTTTCATATATCAAAACGGAAACAATCTGTGATGTACTCACAAATCAGCTTTGAACAGATGCGGATTGTAGTGCTGCCTGGCCGCGTGAGAAACAGAAAGTCTTGCGTCTTCAGCGTGACACGAAGCAATTGGAACAAACGGGAAACAGCATGACAAGTTGCCTGCAAACGAGGCCGCAACGAACTGCGCCTCTTTTCCTTCTAGCAATACAAGTCGACTTGTGTACTCAAATACAGCATCACAAATTTCGTTTTCGATATGAGGAAGGGGGAGTTTTTCCTTTCAATAGTCGCCGGCCGATCACCGCGCTTCAGCGCCGCGATGATCCGCTTCTCCGCGAATTTGCGTGCGCGGTCCGACCGAGCGTGGTTCGGGTATCAAATGCAAAAGTGTCTGGGTCTGGAAACCTGTGATGCTGAGTTGCGCATGATTCAAGTGCGTGCAATGGCAGCCAAGCATCACAAGTTTTTCAGACGCCTGTTGATGCCTAGCACGCATTACACATTGCGTTTTTGCATGACGAAGGAAGCCCCTCTTTTGCTGCTCATGCAACACAGATTTTCCACGAACGCAAGACACGCATTACAAGTTCCACTTTTCCAGACCCAGACATTTTTGCATTTGATATCGGGTCCACCTCCACCATAGCCTTGAACGTCGCGGCGCCGACCAACTGGACTGCGAACTCGCGCTCGAGCTGGTAAATTTCCTCCGCGTCAAGGCCCTCGGGCAACGGAGGCATGTCCCAGATGAACCATCCTGTGGAAAAACGTCCCGTGGTGGTAAAACCATTCTTTTTTTGTCATGCGTATTAAGTACCTGCCTGCACGGCCTGCATGCAATTTCAAATCAGCACGCTTTACTAAAGTGCTTTTCATGCGCAGCCCCATGAGAGGCACTTCATTAGTGTGTTTTGGAATTTGTCGCGCTACGCAGAAAGATAGAAGTTGTAGAGCAAGATGATTGAATGATTTGTCACGCGGCGGCAGTAGCTAAACGCGACCACACTGCGCGCCCGAACCTGTCAGGCATAAGTAACAGCCAAAATTCCAAAGCTCGCATCTTGACTATCATGGGGTCGTCGCGGTGACGTTTTTACTGAGGATATGAACCGCCGCTTCTTCTTCTTGCCATCAGCGCCAACCAGATCCAACTGCTCCCCGTCCGACACCGCCCCCTTGCCAGCCGTAGAGGGGAACGCGGGCAGAGAAAAGTCGGACACCAGCAAATTTCCGAGAAAGCCGGCGCGCTCCTTGCCCTTCCCCTTTTGCAGCTGCTTTTCCCGCATTTTCTCCTCGTAGCGTTGTTTCCGCTCCTCCTGCTTCTTCTTGTACTTTTCTTTCAGCTCGTCCTCTTTTTTAAAGTATTCGACATTCAAGGTCGACACGAGACCCTGCTCCACGTCGATGTCCTGCAGAAATGCTTCTTCGTCCACGTCTTCGTCAAACGCGATGGTGCGCTTTCCGACTTTGTGGTCGAGAATGTCCTTCTCGTCCTTGTCCTTCTTGTCGCTGTGGTCCTTTCGCAGGATGGATTTGGTTTTCCGCTCTTGTGGCTTGCTCCTTTTATCCTTTTCTGCTCTTTTGTCTTTTCGTGCATTAGCCTTTAATATTTCCGCATCCTCCTCGCTGCGTCGGTGGTCCTCTCTCGGTGTGCCGTCCGAATGTTCGCCAACATCTTCGCTGCTGCTGCGTCGTTTGGTGTTGTGGGGCGAGGGAGATCGGTGCTTCGAGGACGAAGATCTGCTCTTTTCCTTGTCTCGTTTCCTCTCATGATGATCATCGTCATCAGATGTTGAGTCGCGCTTTCTTTTACCTCTTTCCGGACTGCTGCCCTTGTCGCTCAGTCGCTTCAGGCGGTCCTTAGAACTTTTTCCCTTCGTGTCCTCCTCGTCCGACGAGCGATCCCTGTCCCCGCTGGCCCGACTGCTGCTGCCAAACCCCTTTGCAGCTTTCGTCAACCTCAAAACCTCCTGCCCTTTGTCGCTGAGTCGCTTTAGGCGGTCCTTAGAGCTTTTTCCCTTCGTGTCCTCCTCGTCCGAGGACCGATCCCTGTCCCCGCTGGCCCGACTGCTGCTGCCAAACCCCTTTGCAGCTTTCGTCAGTCTCAAAACCTCCTGCCCTTTGTCGCTCAACCGCCGGTACTGGTCCTTGGAAGATCTTTTGCTCTCCTTATTTCCCTCATCGTCCTCTTCATCTTGTGCTAGACCGCCGCTGCGCAACCTCCGCGCGGCCTTGGTCACGTCCGCTGCCCGCTGCAGCCGACCTTTTGCCGAGCGAGATCGCCCCCCAGGACCACGGTCCTCGTCCTCCTCCCCCGACGTCGATCCGCCCAAATGCTTGGTGCCGCGGCCCTTCGAGGGCCGGTCCGCTCCTTCGTCCGCATCTTCGTCGCCGATGGTTCCGGTCGCGCCCCGGTTCAGGTATCCTGAGTAAAAACGTCCCCACACAAAAGTTGTGATGCAAATCTGCATGCCAAAAAAGTTTGTCATGTGGAGCGCCATGAGAGGCATTTTCTCGTCGTCTTTTGGAATTTGTGATGCTATAATCTGCATGATATGCTAGATCTGTGATGCTGCTGAAATACCTAAACAGGATGAGGATTACACTACGAGGAGAAATTTGTCATGCCAAATGACCAAAGCTGGCTGATTTGTCTAGCAGATTTCCCATCTTGACTCTGGTGTGGGGACGTTTTTAAATACGATATCAGGGTGCGTTTTTTCACTCGCTTCCCCAGCTCTGACATGTGGTCCTTTCCCAAATCGTAGGACGCGAGGCGCTATCAAATGTAAAAATGTCTGGGTCTGGAAGAATGCAACTTGTCATGCTGTCTTTGGAAGGTAAAAAAAATCTGTATTGCATGACCAGCAAGAGGAGTTCAGTTTGTGCTACGCGGAGCGCACATTTCTGATGCGGAATACGCATCAGAAGGCCCCTTAAAAATCTGTGATGGTCGGCCAGGCATTACAGACATCATGGGTTATGCAAAATATGCATGACAAACCTGGCAATCTTCCAGACCCAGACATTTTTACACTTGATAGGCGCTGCCAGTTTCGGCTCGCCGTGGAGCTGGCCCCCGCTTCGCTCCGGCCGTCCTCCGTCGCCGTGTCGTGGTCGGTGAACTGCGAGCTGGCACGACTCTGGCGACTTGCCCCCGACGCGTGCGAGGCGTACGAGCGGTGCGTGTCCAGGATGGCGTCGAGTGTGGGCGGGGGCACGCGCGGTGTGTACTTCAGGGAGTGCAGGGATCGCGGCGTCTGTATGGCGTTCTCAACTGTTACATAATTTGTAATGCAAAACGAGCATCAACATTCACAAAGTGAAGCTACTTCGCATGACAAATTTTGGAAAGGTTAAACAGCGCCTGAAAAATCGGCGGGAATTTGTATTGCTACAGGTGCAACCTCCCTGCTTTGACTTTTGCCATTCTTGCATCACAAATCCATGTAACAGTTGAGAGTGTAACAGTTGAGAACGCCATAGTCTGGTCGTCGAACTTGGAGGTGTAGACGGACGACCGGTCGTCAAATACCGACTCCGTCGCGACGGACTCCGCCGCGCCCGTGCTCGACCGCCCGTCGAAGAACTGATCAAGCCGAGGGGGTGCATTCGGATCAACATCCTGGTCCGGATTACCTTCCGCCTCGTCCTGGCCGGGAATCGGCTCCGTGATTTCAGCTATTTTGTCTCGCTTTTCATCCTTCTCGTCATCTGCTGGTGTCGTGCCAACTTTTTCCTCCTCGTCGGGTTCTTTATCTTTCCACCAGTTCAGCTTCTCCCCGTGTCTGATTCTGCGGCATTAAATGCAAATATGTCTGGGTCTGGGAGATTGCGAGAGGACCTGTGTGTCATGCTAGTCTGGCATGACTCGGAAATTTGTATTGCGCGGCCGCGAAGAGCTCCTCTTGGCCGTCATGCAAAAACGCAATTTCTCATGCGGAGTACGCAACTCAGAAGCACCGAAAAATTTGTCATGCTTGGCAGCGCATCATAGATACAGTGTGCTCACTATTCGTCCCTTCCTTGCGTCACAGGTTTCCAGACCCAGACATTATATTTGCGTCCCATATGCGGTAAAGGGGCACAATGATCTGGTACGTGATGTACTCCCGGGTCGGATCGGTTTCCAAAAAGGGCACTTTTGGCGGCAAACCTATTTGCCCCATCGTGAAGCCTGTACTGTCAATCGACATCACCGAACTCCTCCCGGCGTCGGACTTCGTGGGGGTTATCAAATGTAAAAATGTCTGGGTCTGGAAGATTCCGAGATTTGTCATGCTTAACAGACTGCGCTACCGAGATTTGTCATGCAGTTTTTCCAAGCTCCACCAAGTCTGGAATGCAGGGCCTAGCATCACAGGATCTGCAGCCCCTTTGTGATGCCTGTTCTGCATGAGAAATGCCCCTCAGCATGGCCAGAAATGAGCACCTTTTGCAAGTCACGCAACACAGATTTTTGGATGATGCGCAACATGCGTCACAAGTTGCATCCTTCCAGACCCAGACATTTTTGCATTTGATAGGGGTGACGGGCAGACCACGATGCGCCGGGGAAGATCGAACAGCAGGCGAAGTAGATGTTGTCGTACTCCTGTTCTTGGCCTTTGGACTACTAATACTTCTCGCCTGCTCGTTCCTGTGGTCTTCAACCTTCGCTCCGTCGGTCCCCTTCTCCTCGTTCCCACCGGCTACTCCCGGAGAAGTTGTTGCATCTACTCCCGGAAGATCACGACCTCCTGCTAGTGCCCCATCTTCTGCCCCCTGTTTGAGGTCTTTGACCTTCGCGCTGGCGTTGAGCTCCCAGTCCTTGTACACTAAGAAGGATCGCTTGCCGCAGATGAAAAGGAGCAGGAAGGCAAGATACAGTGCCATCCACCCGGCCGCCGGAATGGGCGCCGGGAACTGATAGAAGTCCAAGTACTCGAAGGGAATCGCCTTGAATATCAAATGTAAAAGTGTCTGGGTCTGGAAGAGTCATGCTGTTTTTGCATGACACAGAAGGTCTGGCATGGAAGGTCTAGCATCACAGGTTTCGAGAAGCTTCCGCAATGCCGAATCAGCATGACAAGTCCCCCACTTTGGTGACAGAAAGTGGGCAGCTTTTGCTACCTATGCATGAGAGGTTTTTGAGTGTTGTGAAATGCGCATCACAAGTTGCATCCTTCCAGACCCAGACATATTTGCATTCGATATTGAACTCCGGACAACCAAGGTGGTCGGGCGGATAGGGGAAAAAACTCCCGTTCACAGAGTTGATCCGCAGGCACTATTGCAGTGAAAAGTGCCCCCCACCCCTCAAATTGCAAAAATTTGTGATGCGAAGTTTCCAAATGAAAACTTTTTGTCATGCATGAAAGGAGTATGAATCTTTCTGATGCAGAGTCTAGTCGTGTATCGCATCGCTTGCATGACAAACGCCGCTCTTGCTGGGGTCTTTTGCAATACAAATTTTCGCTATTCACGATTACAAACCTGTGATGCTGATAGGTGCAAGAGGGCGAATGTTTCATTTGGAAAGGTTTGCAATACAAATGCTTTCAAGTTCGAGGGTGGGGGCATTTTTCATTCTGATAGGCACTGCGTCATGTTCTCCGTCATGCTGTCCGTGATGTTCACGATACCCGAAAACAGCTCCTCCCCGGGATCGTACGTTTGTACGCGCTCCCCCCTGGCGTCCAGCTTGCCGTCGACGAGCACGTCGATGAGCCGCTTGTCCATCCGGGCCAGCATGCTGGTGCGGAAACCTGGTTCCTGCAGCGGCAAGTTCCCCGAGTCGACCAGATTGCCACTGCAGCTGGCGTTCGCGAGGAAAAAGCTGTAGTTCCGGACGTTCAGCGTGTTCCAATACAGGGAGCAGGGATTCGCGCGCCGCGCGCTCTCGAACATGTGGCTCAGGTCCGTCGCGCCGCGCGTGTTCCAGTAGGCCACGTTGGGGTTCGCAAAGTGGCTGAACGAGAACATGTTCTTCAAATTGCGGACCCACTGCATGTTCCAGTAGGTGGTGTCCGGGTTCGCTTTGTGGCTGTGGCTGAACATACTCTCCATGTCGATGAATTCCACATCGTACTCCGCCGGCGAAAACGAATCCACAAAGTCCGGCACCGTTCCGGGAGGGCCGTACTCAACCTCGTTGTCCAGTGGGTAGTACGCGTTGGCGAAGCTGCCCAGAAACCGCCGGATGGCGGGGAGGGGAGAAAATCTCTCCCGCAACCGGTCCAGTGTAGGGTTTCCGCTGGAAACTCGAGGCATCACTTCTTCCGCAAAGAAGTTGTCCACTTCGGCTCCGTAGCCTTCGGCTCCGTAGTAGAAATCACTTTCATCTTCTTCAAATGTTGATGTCCTAGCAGGTGCAGGGGAGAAGAGGAGGCGCTTGCCTTCCTCGGCCGGACCGTCGTCCTCCTCATCTTCCCCCTCTGCCGGCACTACACTGTTGAGCTTGTTGCGTATTCGTGCGCGAGGGCGCCGAGAGAGCCCAGTCGTGCCGCCCTCGTCCTCTTCGTGGAACTGCGCCAACACTTTGCTCACATTGAACTCCTGTAGTTGGTAAACCAGGTGGCTGAAGTTTTGCGCAACGGAGATGTTGTGCAGAAACCACGCAAGAATGCCGCGCTTCACGTGCGGCTCGCCGCCTGCCGCTGCGATCCGTGCGGCGGCAGCGTCCGAGTGGCGGCTCGTCAAGTTTTGCCGGTTCACTTTTCTGTACTTGGTCTCAGCGTCGATCCATCTGTTGCGGTCGGCAGCAAGTGATTCCTTGTCCGCATGTTGATCGCGGTCGAGTGGCTGAAGCGGAGAAGAAGTTGTGTCGGTCGTGAAGATTTCGCCGCTGTTCTTTCCTCCCCGTGTAGCTGCCGACGTCCTTCTTTGCACATCACCAGAAGAGCCGTCCGACTCGTCTGCTCTCGAACTACTACCCAGGACACGGCGCTGCCGGACCTTTCGCAACCGGTCGTAGGCAAGCGCCGACTCTCTGAACTTCCATTTCCTGGTTGCCCCCTCCAACGTCGCATTTCTACTCCCGAAAAACATTTCCTTGAACGTTGTAACCGAACTGACGTCCCACTCTGTGCAGTCGGGGTCCGCGGCATGCGACTCGGCAAACATCCGGGTCATGTTTTTCACCTTCCCCACGTCCCATAAAGTCACGTTGGGATTTGCTTTCACCGAGTTTTCGAACATCTCGCCGAGGTCGGTGACGCCGGACAAGTTCCACCCCGTCACGTTGGGGTCGGCCCGCAGGGTGCCCTGGAACAGCGACCGCATCCTTTTCAAAGCTGGGCCAAATTTTTGGTTCCAGTTTTTCACCGGCGAGTCCGCGTATTCTGCGTGCTGGAACATGAAATCCATGTTGGTGACCGCGGTGATGTCCCACTTGGATACGTCGGGGTTGGCCTTCGTCGTATAGGCGAACATCGACCGCATATTTTGCGTCACGGAGGTGTTCCACTTAGACACATCTGGCGCCGCACCCGTGCTGTTGTATCAATAGGAAAAATCCCCCCTCCCCATATCGAAAAGGAAATCTGTGATGGAGGATCTGCGTACACAAATCAGATCCGTCTTGCAGTAGAGGACGGCACGCAGATCGCAAGCCTAGATGGGGCCCTTTTGGTGTAGGCGCCTAGCATGGTGCACGGCTGTCCTGTAGTCCTTACAGCATTACAAATCGCCTGCATCGCGTTGCAGAGAGCCTGGATTTGTCCTCTAGCAAGACAGACAGGATTTGTGGCCACAAATCAGCAACACAAATTTTCGGAAACATACCTTATCAATATGGGGAGGATGGATTTTTTCTCTCAATATGTTGTAGAACATAAACCGCATATCAAGCACTTCGGAAACGTCCCAATTCGTTACATTCGGGTTGAAGTACGCCCCCTCGAACATGTAGGACAGGTTTGTGAGCCCTACCGTTTTCCAATACGGCCCGATGTCCAACCTCGCCCGCGGCGCATTGAAAATGAACCGCTTCATGCTGGTGATCATCTGTGTGTTCCACAAGAAGGTAACTGGAGCGGCCACTTCCGCGGATTCGAACATAGAGCGAAGGGTCAATACTTTGCTCGTGTCCCACTTGGAGACATCCGGGTCCGCGGCCTTAGAGAATGAAAACATCTTGGTAAAGTCCAACGCGGACTTCATGTCCCAGTTCGTCGTATTCAAGTTGGCACCTTCGCTGTGAACCACCATCCCGCTGAAGTTTTGCCCCTTCCCCGTGTTCCAAAACTGCGTGTCCGGGTTGGCCAGTTTCGTGAAGGCGAACAGACTGGAGTAGTCTTTCACCGTGCCGGTCTGCCACGCGGACATGTCCAAATTGGTGATGCTTGTTGCGTTCTCGAATAACCCCGCGAGACTGGTTGCGGCGGATACGTCCCAGCTGTTCAAATCCTTCAGCACCACCGCAACCGTGCCGCGGAAGGCTTTTTCCAGCGAGGAGACGAGCGGGAAGACCGCAATGGAGCCCGAGGAGGTTTCGCCGGCCTGGAGCCGCCGCCGCAACCGCGACCGGGGGCTGGTGACGGCCGGCAGCTGGTCGCACACGCCGGGATGAAACTGGCAGAAGCGCTCGAGGCGCGTCGCGTTGAACACGGTGTGTTCGTAGTCGGTAAAGTTCATTTCGACGAGCTCCTTCGCGTTTTCGAACGCGCCGTCCAGCTGTTGCCAACCCACCTCCCCCAGTGCGATGATCTTCGTCAGCGCGTCGCGGAAGTTCAGGAATTCCGGTTCGCTAGCGCTGTTCAGGGCGGCCTCCGTCGCGATCTCTTTGTACGGAGAGGGAGAGACCGTCGCGGTCGGCACGGTCACACTGGCTGGACTTGCCGCGTTCCCCTCGACCGCGGCCGAATCAATCCCCGTCAGCCACTGCGGAAAGTCCGGGCCATATCAAATGCAAAAGTGTCTGGGTCTGCAATGTTGCCGGGTTTGTCATGCATATTTTGCATGGCCCAGGATGTCTGTAATGCACGGCCTAGCATCACAGATTTTTAGAGGGCTTCCTGATGCCTACTCCGCATGACCAACGCCCTCCCCGCGTAGCACAAACTAGACTCCTCTTGCTGGTCATGGAATACAGATTCTTTTAGAGTCCAAAGTTACCATCACAAGTTCAAACCTTCCAGACCCAGACATTTTTGCGTTTGATAGGCCAACGATGACGACGATGTACTCCTGTCCCGCGGGGAAAGACAAGCCCAGGTCGCCCATCAAACTCTTGCCGCCGTTTACCCGCTGGTTTTTCTTCCGGTGCACCAGACTCCCCCCCAGGTTCGCGGCTTCCGCCACCGAGTGCCCGGTGAACAGACTCGCATCGTACTTGAAGTTCGCGCGGACCGGGAGTCGCACGTTTTCCTGTCCCGCTTTGGTCTTCAGGACGAAACGCATGGGCGCGCGGCAGCCCACAGGCTGGATCCAGGCAAAGGATCTGCCATGGCTCTCCTCTTGGTCCCACTGCAGCGGCGACGTGGAGTTGCAGGTCGCGGGGTGGTAGGCGCCGTTCAAGATTTCGGCGCGGAGCGATTCTTCCACCGAGGGGTGCGTCTCGGGCGTCGCGCAACTGGACTCGTAAAACATCTTCTCCACGTTCGCGCCGTCCTGAATCAGCCACCGGCTGACGCACGGGTTCGCCGACACAGTTTCTGCGAACATCTGTATGAACGACGTGGCTTTCCGGTATCCTGAGCAAAAATGTCCCCACCCCAAAGTCAAGTGGGTAAATCTGCAACACAAACCCCAAGTTTTGGGAGTTGTGCATGAAAAATTTCCATCCGCAGTGTAAGTAGTGGTGGTCAGCAAGGGAAGCCGCATGACAAAGCCACTTTCTCATCCTGTTTACAGCTATGAAAACGAAATCTTGGGTCACAGTCACATCGAAAACGGGAAAAAATGCACTTTTTCAACAAAAAATCGATGGACTCAGCTCGTGTTTCGCGTCAAAAAAACGCATTTTTTTTAGGTGCCTGAAAGTTTTTTGTTGTTTTTGCAGCAATTCGCAGCAAAAACCAGCAACAAACACAGCAAAAAACTCCGAGGCTTTTGCGAAAAAATTGCAAGAAAGCTGCGCGAATTTTCCGAATTTCCAAGCGCAAAAAACACAAAAAAAAAACCCGTAAGCCGCGCGTCTTTCCCGCGCAAAATTGCCCCGCGGCCTGTTTTTGATTTTTGGTGAAATGCCGCAAATTTTTCTTCGGATTCTGAGAAAATTTTCCGCGACAATAAAGGCGCGGACCAATCCAAGAAAAAGCGCGGGGCCCGCTCTCTTTTTTCTGCCGGCGAGGGCGCTGATTTTTGCAACCCGGGGGCGCTTTTTCGCGCAGAAAAAACCAAAGCCGGGGCCCAAAAATCGGGCGCCGTTTTCGCGCGAAAAATGCGCGGCGGCACGCTTTTCATTTTTGCTCGCAGGCCGCAACATTTTGCAAAAAAGCAAGTTGATTTCTCGGACCAGCAAAAGCAAAACTGGGCAAGAAAACAAACGAATTTTGCTGGCCAGGAAAAGAAAAACCAACGAAAAAAACCGGGGCCCTTTCGTTTTTTTTTGGCAGAAGGGCAAAGAAATTCTCAAGGTCCACCCTTGGGAAAATTTTTGCGGTGCCGTCGTGAAATTTTGCGGCTTGCCTTCTTCGGAAAGCGGAAAAAGCGCGCCGCAAAAAGGCGGGCCAATTTTCTAAAAAAGGCCGGCGCATATCGGCGCAATTTTTTCAATTTGGCGCCCGGGTCTTGCGTCTTTCGGGTGGTACTTTTTCCGCTTTGGCTGCGTTTCAAATCGCCGAAATCCGGCAAGAGCTTTTGCTGCGCGGCTTGGTTTTTGCATTCGCGAGAGTTGTTATCCGAAGAAGAAAAAACCTAAGACAGGCGGCCCGCTACCTACTTGCTTAGGAAGGCGCCTAGTTATTTCAAAAAGATGCGCGCTAGCTAGCCCCCTCCTTCCTTTTGCTTCGATTTAGGTCATTGAAAAGAAGAAGAGCAGCAAAATGACGCGCCGAAGCAAGGGCCCGGCTCCTGGTTCCGCCGTGCCTCCGGCGGGGTTAGTATCTTCGAGCGCAAACTTGTCTGGGTCTGGAAGCCGCCAATGTCTGCCATGCTATAACGCAGCAGGGGGCTACGCATGGCCCTCCATTTCAAAACCGCTCGCGCAATACAGATCCTCTTTCGTTATATCGTATTCCAGCAAGGCCAAGGGCATGAGCATGGCAGGCTCAGGCCCTTCCAGACCCAGACATATTCGCAACGCATATAAGGGTCTCGCCCTTTGTGGCCCCGTGTGGGGTCACAAAGGGCACCGCAACAATTTCACTGGGCGCATTGGCCCCATCAAGTTGGTCCGGATCGGCGGCAGCTCCTCTGTCCGTTTTCTTTTTCGGTAGCGCGCGCCCAAATCGAGCCCATCGCCTTGCTGGGGATTTAGCGCCGCGGCCCACATCAAAAACGCGACGCCCGGGCGGCCGGCTTTTGATGTGACCCGCGGCGCGATATCCCCACGCGGCGGGCTCGATTTGGGTGCGCGGTTTTGGATGAAAAAAATCCGCGGGAGAAGCATCGCCGAAAACACCCGAGAAAACGGCGACGGAGACATCGCCGGAGACAGGGAAAAAAACCGAAGACAGGAAAAACACCAAAAGCGCGCGCCCGAATCGAGCCCGTCGCGCGGGGATATGGCGCCGCGGGTCACATCAAAAACGCGACGCCCGGGTGGCCGGCTTCTGATGTGCCCCGCGGAAAGATATCCCCACGCGACAGCTCGGCTTGGGCGCGTGGTTTGGGATGAGGAAAATCCGCGGGAGAAGCATCGCCGAAGGAAAACATCCGAGAAAACGGCGACAGAGACATCGCCGGAGACATGGGGAAAAATCAAAGACAGGAAAAACACCGAAAACGCGCGCCCGAATCGAGCCCACCGCATGGGGGTGTAGCGCTGTGGGTCACATCAAAAACGCAACGCCCGGGCGCCCGGCTTCTGATGTGACTCACGGCGGGATATCCCCATGCGACGGGGTCGATTTGGGCGCGCGGTTTGGGACGAGGAAAATCCGTGGGGCGGAAACATCGCCGAAAACATCCGAGAAAACGGCGACGGAGACATCGCCGGAGACATCGAAAAAGGCGAAAGGCAGGAAAAACACCAAAAGCGCGCACCCAAATCGAGCCCGTAGCGTGGGGATATAGCGCCGTGGGTCACATCAAAAACACGACGCCCGGGCGGCCGGCTTCTGATGTGACCCACGGCGCTATATCCCCATGCGACGGGCTCGATTTGGGCGCGCGCTTTTGGTGTTTTTCCTGTCTGCGAGTTTTTTCGGCTGCCGGCTTTCTCCTTTGCAAACCGCGCACCCAAATCGAGCCCGTAGCATGGGGATAGAGCGCCGTGGGTCACATCAAAAACACGACGCCCGGGCGGCCGGCTTCTGATGTGACCCACGGCGCTATATCCCCATGCGACGGGCCCGATTTGGGCGCGTGCTTTTGGTGTTTTTCCTGTCTGCGAGTTTTTTCGGCTGCCGGCTTTCTCCTTTGCAAACCGCGCACCCAAATCGAGCCCGTAGCATGGGGATAGAGCGCCGTGGGTCACATCAAAAACACGACGCCCGGGCGGCCGGCTTCTGATGTGACCCACGGCGCTATATCCCCATGCGACGGGCCCGATTTGGGCGCGTGCTTTTGGTGTTTTTCCTGTCTGCGAGTTTTTTCGGCTGCCGGCTTTCTCCTTTGCAAACCGCGCACCCAAATCGAGCCCGTAGCATGGGGATAGAGCGCCGTGGGTCACATCAAAAACACGACGCCCGGGCGGCCGGCTTCTGATGTGACCCACGGCGCTATATCCCCATGCGACGGGCCCGATTTGGGCGCGTGCTTTTGGTGTTTTTCCTGTCTGCGAGTTTTTTCGGCTGCCGGCTTTCTCCTTTGCAAACCGCGCACCCAAATCGAGCCCGTAGCATGGGGATAGAGCGCCGTGGGTCACATCAAAAACACGACGCCCGGGCGGCCGGCTTCTGATGTGACCCACGGCGCTATATCCCCATGCGACGGGCCCGATTTGGGCGCGTGCTTTTGGTGTTTTTCCTGTCTGCGAGTTTTTTCGGCTGCCGGCTTTCTCCTTTGCAAACCGCGCACCCAAATCGAGCCCGTAGCATGGGGATAGAGCGCCGTGGGTCACATCAAAAACACGACGCCCGGGCGGCCGGCTTCTGATGTGACCCACGGCGCTATATCCCCATGCGACGGGCCCGATTTGGGCGCGTGCTTTTGGTGTTTTTCCTGTCTGCGAGTTTTTTCGGCTGCCGGCTTTCTCCTTTGCAAACCGCGCACCCAAATCGAGCCCGTAGCATGGGGATAGAGCGCCGTGGGTCACATCAAAAACACGACGCCCGGGCGGCCGGCTTCTGATGTGACCCACGGCGCTATATCCCCATGCGACGGGCTCGATTTGGGCGCGCGCTTTTGGTGTTTTTCCTGTCTGCGAGTTTTTTCGGCTGCCGGCTTTCTCCTTTCCAAACCGCACACCCAAATCGAGCCCGTAGCATGGGGATAGAGCGCCGTGGGTCACATCAAAAACACGACGCCCGGGCGGCCGGCTTCTGATGTGACCCACGGCGCTATATCCCCATGCGACGGGCTCGATTTGGGCGCGCGCTTTTGGTGTTTTCCCTGTCTTTCGCTTTTTTTGATGTCCCCGGCGATGTCTCCGTCGCCGTTAGTTTTCCCGGATGTTTTCGGCGATGTTTCTCCCTCGCAGATTTTCCTCGTCCCAAACCGCGCACCAAAATCGAGCCCGCAGCGTGGGGATATCGCGCCGCGAGTCTGTCACATCTGAAGCCGGCCGCCCGGGCGTCGCGTTTTTGATGTGACCCACGGCGCTATATCCCCACGCGACGGGCTCGATTTGGGCGCGCGCTTTCGGTGTTTTTCCTGTCTTTCGCTTTTTTCGATGTCTCCGGCGATGTCTCCGTCGCCGTTTTCTCGGATGTTTATTTTCGGCGATGTTTCTCCCACGGATTTTCCCCATCCCAAACCGCGCACCCAAATCGGGCCCGCCGCATGGGGATGTCGCGCCGTGCGTCACATCAGAAGCCGGCCGCCCGGGCGTCGCGTTTTTGATGTGACCCGCGGCGCCATATCCCCACGCGACGGGCCCGATTCGGGCGCGCGCTTTTGGTGTTTTTCCTGTCTTTGGTTTTTTTCCATGTCCCCGGCGATGTCTCCGTCGCCGTTTTCTCGGATGTTTCCGGCGGGCGATGCTTCTCCCGCGGATCTTTTATTTTCATCCAAAGCCGCGCACCCAAATCGAGCCCGCCGCGTGGGGTTATCGCACGCGCCGCGGGCCACATCAAAAGCCGGCCGCCCGCGCGTCGCGTCTGAGCTTTGCTGTGGGCCGCGGCGTTATATCCCCGCCGACGCGACGGGCTCGATCTAAGTGCGCGCTACCGAAAAACAAAACGGACAGAGGA